CAAACTGCATCCATTAAGTAATGACAGTGATTGATGCTCCCATTTTACAGGTGAAGAAACTGAGGCAAGGCACACTGTAGCGAGTAGGAGGTGAGCCAAGACTGGAAGACAGACATTTTGGTGCTGGAGCCACTATGCTATATTGTCACTGAGGAAATAAGTGTTTTCCTGTCCTCCAGGGTATCTAGCCCCAAACCACTCCATTTGGAGAGAGACTCTGGGTTCTCCTGAACAAATAAGCTGGCAAGAGTCTGGGCTTCCTCTTCTTGTTGAGTTGGGCTCTCATCGGTATTGCTCCTCAAATTAAATTCGGGTGTAAGCTAAAGACCAGAGGGAAGTTCCCACTCGGGTAGAGTAGATCTAGGTGTGTATGTATGGTGGGGATGGTGGTGAGGACAAGGACACTGGCCCAAGCTCTTTGAATAAGGTATTGTGTATATTTGGTATCTTTCCATTCATAACCTGAGAATAGGATGCTCTTCTCCCTTAACTGAATGTTGAGACTACGGTGCAAGAAGGGCAGCCAGAGCTGTCAGTGGGGTGATGCTGGACACATTGGGCCTATTCTCCTTCCAGCTGCGCTACTGTATGAGTTTCCTAGGGCTGCCATAGCGAAGTATCACAGACTGGGGACCACAACAGAAAATACTTTCTCACGGCTCTGGAATGTGGAAGTCCTCGGTGGAGATGTTGGCTGTGTTGGTTCCTTCAGACCATGGACAAAACATCTGTACCAGGTTGCTCTCCTTGGCTCGTAGACGGCTCTCTTATCACCAGGTCTTCAAATTTTCTTCCCTTTGTAAGTGTCTGTGTCAGAATTTCCTCTTCTTATGAGGACACCAGTTATATTGGATTCAGACCAACCCTAATGACCTCCTTTTAATTGAATTACCTCTTTAAAGGCCACACCTCAAAATGCCGTCACATTCTGAGGTGCTGGGCTTAGGAATCCAACATACAGACTTTGTGGGGGAAGCAATGCAGCCCTTAACAATTCAGCCCTATACAGCAGCATGGAGTGTCTATTACCCTAAAATAAGGCACACACATTGGCCAAGTAGTAAGTAACCGATGAGACATGAGTTCATTCGGATGCATTATAGGGGAGTTCGGATTACCTTGTGAGTTGAGAAAATACGTAAAATAATTAGGATGTGAAAGGCAGTGTCTCTTCCTGGTTCTGGGTTCCATCCAGCTAAGTGTTCATTGCAGGGTTGTCTGAGAGCCTGTGGAAGTTTTTCTCTTCGTCATTTTGTTAACCCATGGTGCTGGATGCTCGGTTCAGGGATGCTTCTGTTGGTCCTCTTTTCCATGTGCAACAAACTCCCTGTTCCTCTCCTGGCCCTGACCTTGGCAATGTTGGCTGTGCTCAGTGGCAAATGCGTGGACTTGCTTCTATTGATACACTTCCAAAACCTCAATTTAGATATAGAAGTTCCGTGGACAGCTTTCACCAATGTCACAGCCCCCTAGCGAGCATAAGCCAACATGAAACACTTGAAATCGCTACGGGAAAGACGTGGTAAAGAAATTTATTCTGTCTGGACCAAAGTAGTTCAGCATCTCATGTTGCTGGAATGAACCACGCTCCAAGCTTCCTCCCAACTGTGGAATTCTGTGAGTGAGGACCAGCTCCAGCCTTAGTGGCACCATGACAGTTGTCAGTCTTCCACGTTCTTAGTGCTCATCTTTACTCCAGCAACTTTTCTTCGCTTGCTCAATGCCCAATAGTGGTTCAATATTTCAGAATCCTCCTAGTCACCTCTTCCCCTAGCGAGAGCACACTGCTTCACACCTTTAAGGTCTTCTGGGCTTACCCGACATCTATCATAAAACACTGTATATCCCAGCTCCTCTGGAATGTCTCAAGTTGTGAGAAACCCACTGCCTTGGGAAGCATCTCATTTCGCTTTTGAAAAAGCTTCAATTTTAGTAACCGTTCTCCTTTTTGGAAACTTGGTGTTTGTTCTAACTTCATACCATGCAATCAATGTTCCTCGTCTGCTCTCCGTCAGTCATACTCAATCAGTTGATCCATCTCCCACTGGACCGTCATTCACATCTGGGGACAGCTAGTGTACCTGGCTCAAGTCCTCTATACCCCAGGTTAGGTGATACCATAGCTGACATCTGCCACCATGGTTTTAGGTGCCATTTTTTTTTTTTTTTTAAATTGGGCCTCAATTCTCTGAGATGGTCTTAATGGCTACTAATGGATCAACAATTAAAATACGCTGAGATTCCTCCCACTTTTCAGGGTTTAGATCAAATGTTACCTTTCCCATGAAGCCTTCCTTAATGTTATTCAAATGCCAGGCAATTAACAGCTTTGCTCTTGGACAAATGAGAACAAACTACCTTGTACATCGCTTGCTATGACACTTGCCACAGTGTGTCACACTATTGATTGGCGTTTTCTCTGTCTGTTATGTATGACCCTGTCTTTGACGAGGGACTGTGTCCTGCCCATTACAGTGTCTTAGATTCCTGGCTCAGAACTGGGGATTTATGTTTATTGGCTGCCTTGCTGAATCAAGAAACCAAAGTTCAGATTCCAGGTGCCATGGCTGGTGAGAAAATGAAATGCATTTGTTCTGGGAGGTTTTTGGTGGTTCTCAGATCTGACCCTTTGAGGACAATTCTGGATGCTTATCCTTAAATGAGCTAGGCCAGCCGAAAGGCGTGTATGGAGACAGCGGGTAGCATGGCACTCTGCTGAGACCTCCCAGGCGCTTCTGGATGTCCCAGTGCCACCAGCTTGCAGCCCTGGTGTCACATTATACCTGGTGTCCCCAAACCCTCATCCAGTCAGTGAGCCTTGTCATTAAAAGCTGTCTTTTTCCCTCTCATTGAGGAGTAATTGATCATGAGGCTGGTTTATTTACTTTTCTAAGATGGGGGTTGGAGGCCAGTGTTACCAAGGAATGATTTCTTCCCAGAAAGAGAAAGAACCAAGATGCGTGTCCTCTCTCCGAAGACACATATTGTCTAAAAGGAATTTTGGTCAGCTTGCTATGGCATTGGCTTGCTTGCTGGGTATCTTTTAATCCGAGTGCATTGGGGGCGGGTCTTAGACTTCTGTAAGATAATCTTCCTTCTCCAACCAGTAAACAGCACTCTTTATGTTCAAGTCAACTTTATTAAGACCCTCTTGCACAAGTCCATTCTGCTCATTTTCTCAAGCCTTTCTTCTATGGTGGTCTCTGCCCATCTACTTGTCCAAGAGAGTGGATAAATATAGAACAATTACACATTCTTCAAGGACAAAAAATTCTAACTTTGCTCTTGCCCTAATCTGACACCAGTTTTTATCAGAAACTGCCTTTTTTATTTAATCATTTTTGATTGAGTTCAGTGTCTGAAAGGCGGCCTGGTGGTTTAAAACACCTCAAGACCTCTCAAACACCCAGCCACTGAGATGCTATTCCAAGGGGATGTTCTTCTCCTTTAGGACCCGGCATGACAGTTCCTATCATAATTTAGTATGTTCGTTGGAGATAACTGTGAAGGGTTGCTTCACATGGGTTGTGTCATTTGGCACAGCCTGTAAACACATTCTCAGGAATAAATAAAGACAGAGCTTTCCCATCCTAAGTTGGGTGGGAGGCTGAGATGGTCATGGTGGACATCCTGAAAGCGTAACTCTAGGTCTGTGGGCCATGGAGGAGGGATGGCTGCCCCAGTGTCTGCATTGTGAACATGTAAGTAGAAGTGTCAGGAAAATTTCAGAGGGAAAAATAATGTCAACTAAATAAAGGTCACACTTTGATGTTTGAAGTAGATTACTTAAAAAGTAAAATCACTTTACAGTAAATATCTGGAATTTAAACCTATTTATATTTTCGATCTTGAATGGACAGTATTATTCAGGAAAAAATAGCTCCACTGCAGGGATGCCTGGGACATTGTTCCCACTATACGTAGTCATTGTTGTAGCAACCCAAATGACCCAGCCCAAACCCGAGGCACAGAACCACTATGGGAGATGGAATCTGGACACAGATATGGCCCAACACACAGGAGTGTGTTTCTTATGCTGCCAACTTGTTAGACCTGCCTGATTCTATTGCAATGCTAAAGGGTGTCGGTGTGGCTCTGCCAATCCATTGGAGGGGAGGACTGTGTATTAGCCTCCTCCCTTTCCACTAGTGACAAGGCAAGAGAGGGCGAATGCAGCCCTGAGAATTCAAGACATGTGTATTAAGATGCATCTGAGCTTGAGGCTCTCCTGCAGGGATGCTGCAGTTGGGAGGTGAAGGTGGGGTGGGGTGAGCACCATTTGGACAGTTAGTGCAAATGCAGTTGTCAAGGCAAGGAGAGAGGGTGTTGCTGAGTATTGAAATTATGTATTCCAGATGTGGGCGTTTGGTAGTCAGTCTGCTCTGAAGTGACATGCTGCTGAATCTTTAAAGGGCTTCAGCCGGGGAGAGCAAAATCTGATTGGGCAAATTGCTAAAATATTTAAAGTGCAGCCTGTTAAAGCTTTTACTGCGAAGAGAATCACGTCAGAAGTTGTAGTCAGAAAGAGCGAGTAATTGGCTTTCCATCCTCTTGCCAGTCAGTCAGCATGAGACCCTGTACCTGTTCCTTCCTCTTCATTGCCAATACTAACAATGAACTGTGTGTGTGTGTGCGTGTGTGTGTGTACACATGTGCACACGCTGGAGAAATTGGATAGCTGGTCAAATGAGAGGGGGACCAAGAGTGACCTCTTCATAAAAGGGAGACCAAATCCACAAAATAACGCGAAGGCCATTGTAGCAAAGGGGAGTAGGAGAGGACGGCAGAATTATTACCTGACAGAGGTCTCCTGCACTTCCAGGTGCTGGTGGTTTGGGCAGTTGTCTTTGAAAGGATGGGTTTCGCAAGCATAGGAATGGCTTTCAGCGACAACCGCGTCTCTGTATCCTTCATCTCCTCCGCCATGTAACTCAGGGGGCGCTTTTCATTTATAATTTATCACATTTTTCACTTTGGCTTTCCTGTCCTTTTCTCCCCAGGCATGACCCCTTGTTAATTCCCGGCAATGATCAGATTGACAACATGGACTCCAACGTGAAGAAGTACGACTCTACTGGGATGTTTCACTGGTGCGCACCCAAGGAGATAGAGAAAGTCATCCTGGTGAGTGACAGACCGCCAATCGATGCTGTCCGCTTCTGTCCCCAGCTGTGTTCACTAGGCAGTGGTTTCTCTGACTGCAGATTGGGATAACTCAGCCCCGGGTGCTAATTACTTTTAACAATTAAAACTCAGGACACATATTGAAGCAGTTAGGACTCTCGTAAGAACATGAACCAAGAGTAGAATTCCCTCTAAATATTTATGGAGTCCTTACAATAAGATCACATGCCTTATGAAAGGCATCATGGGAGGACATATGTACCCTCACTTCTGCGGGTCTGGCTCTGGGGCCAGAGCCTGCCTGTGATTTTTAGCAGCTGCACGGCCATGTACAAGTCACTTGACCTCCTTGCACTTCAGTTCTCTCTATCTGTAAGAACATGAGATGAGAGTGACCATCGCTCATAGGGTTGTAGTGAAAATTAAAACCCAATATATAACTCAACAAAGTTATCTATTGTTATCATTATTACTGTTAAATGACATGAAGAAATCTGAATACTGCCTGTATTGTTATGTGTTTATAACAGTAGCTTGTGTTCATCTAGCTCTGCACACTTGTGATCCTTCTTAACACAGAATGTAGACAGGTGGAGGGCTGATGATGACAAATAGTGCTACTGATGAGATGGCCTCAATCTTAAGGAAATGATAATCTAATTGGAGAGAAAACATAAAATATAACCATGAAACAATACATTTAACGCTACACATTAAGAGGCACAAAGTGCTATTCAAATTTCAGGGAGAAGCCTGCCATGCATTTAAGTGTCCCGGAAGTCTTATTGGATATAAACAGGTTGTGCCTCCAAGGGTTTGAGGCCATGAAGGTCCAGCTTGAGTCGGGCCTTGAAGCAAGCGAGGCAGACACAGGATACACACGTGAATTATTTCTCCAGTGGGTCTTAAAACTGGCAGAATCAGATTCTCCAGAGCTGAGTTCTTTTACACAAGGTACTCCAGGTGGGGTTGTGGCTGATCTAAGTTTCTGGGGTCAGCATCTGTCCCTCAGCCACTCTGCTAACTGGTGCCTTCCCCACCTCCCTATTCTAGATGCCCTGCTCCCTCCTCTGGACCCAGTTTGGATTCCTCCGGCTTGTTGAAGGGAGCTAGCTCCCAGGTGGTCTGGCAATTCAAAATAAGTAGGAGCCCCATCACAGCACCTTACAGTCTAGTTGACCCTCTGCTGGTGGTACCCAGGCACACACACTTTCTTGCAGCCAAAATAATCAACTCCAGGTCTCCTCCATGAGGTGGTGATGTGGGCTGTGACTCCCAGCGGGTCCCCCTTGGCCACAGTTTATGAAACATTTCTTACAGCCGGTGTCTTAGGTGCTCCTGTGCTATTACAGAGGGAAACCAGTAATGGCAATAGCCCCTATTTTAGTCTAACGATCAGGGAGTGAAAGCTAGCTTTTCCCATCCTTGGGGGTTACTATAATAACCCTGACATTGTCATGAATTGCAATATTGGCATTTAAACAATCAATACACGGGTCAGTTCTGGGGATTAAGTGGAGCAGAGTTTGATATGTGCAGTGGACATTAATATGCCTCCCTCGAAGCATTATAAGCCACGTGGGGCTACCCAGGCATTCAGTGGGTGGACAGGAAGGCAGGCAAGGTGGGAGGTATTGGGCCAGAAGGAGAGGCAGACAAAGGCCCACAGCTGGCCTTCTTGTGTTGGTGTCTTTACCAGCAGTGAGCGAAAGCACCAGCAATGGCTAACATTGGTGTTTCCCGGGAAGCTGTGTCCTCTTCTGATGGGGGTCATTTGATTCTTTCCTTTGTCTCCTTTGTAGATTCAGGACAGGGTTTGGGGAAGACACAGGCTGTTGTTTCTCTTGTCAGTCTCGCTCTAGATCTTTTTAATGATTTGGGGGAATCTTCCTCTGGTAACTACACAGGTGAGCCACGCCAGGCATGCTGCTGGAGACCCCAGGCTGCAGTGGACAGGGGTCAGTTGTAAAGGGTCATTTAATAAATAATTTAGGTTTTGTTGGGCATACGATCTCTGTCAGAGCTAGTCAGCTTTGCCATGACAATGTAAAAACAATCATTGGCAAGACCTAGATGAATAAAATCTGCTGTGTTGTAATAAAATTTTATTGGAATTTGAATTTCATATAATTTTCACATATTGTGAAATATTCTCCGTTTGATTGTTTTCAACCATTTTAAAATATAGAAATCAATCTTAGCTCACTAGCCATGGCCATAGAAAAGTTGGTGGTAGGCCAGATTTGGCCTGTGGGCCATAGTTTACTAATCCCTGGCTTAGGGATATTCTGTTCTACCTACTGATGCAATGATGGACTTAGCATCTCACGGATGAGTCTAGAACTAAGAACTCACATTTCTTGAGACCAACATAGGATTTGATCATTTTATCTTCATTTCAGCAAGAGAGGCAGAAAACACAGCTCTCTCTCTCTCTCTCTCTCTTTTTTTTTTAATCCTCACCAGAGGATATGATTTTTTAAATTGATTTTTAGAGAGAGAGAGAAACACAAACAAAAAAACAACATTGATCGGTTGCCTCCCACACACGCCAGAGCAGAGATCAAATCCACAGCCTAAGTATATGCCCTGACCAGAAATCAAACCTGCAACATTTTGGTGTACAGACCCTCCCTCCAACCAATTGATCCACCTGGCTAGGGCAAAAACACAGCTTATTTTATCAACAATTTAATAGAAACTAAGTCTTCCCTTTCCAAATAAAATAAATATTGCTATTTCCTCTGACTTTCCCCTTGAAAACCATTAAGAAAGATCTGCTCATAGGAAGGTATGGCATATCTTTTTAAAATCTGTTATTAAAAAATGTAGTGGTATGTGCAGGTATATGTTTCAATATATTTAGTACACCCAGTGTAATAGATCACACATACTCAAATTATAAATATATATATAGTATGTGTATAACATTGTTGAAATAAAAATTATAGCATATAATATCACATAGTAAGCACTCAACAAGTGCTTGCTATGTGTGTTTATTCTTCACACTCGTGATTTTTTAGTTATTTTTAAAATATATTTTTATTGATTTCAGAGAGGAGAGGGAGAGAGATAGAAACATCAGCTATGAGAGAAAATCATTGATTGGCTGCCTTCTGCACGCCCCACACTGGGGATCGAGCTCGCAACTTGGGCATGTGCCCTGACTGGGAATTGAACCATGACCTCTTGGTTCATAGGCTGATGCTCAACCACCAAGCCATGCCAACCAGGTGATTTTTTTAGTTCTTACCACAACCTGAGGAGGTCTCGTCTCGGATGCTCATGCACTTCTCCTTGCTGCAGACTCGAAGTGAAGCCGCCATGACTGTCCTGAGTGGCCACGTGGTGGTCTGCATCTTCGGCGATGTCAGCTCAGCCCTGATTGGCCTCCGGAACCTGGTGATGCCACTCCGCGCCAGCAACTTTCATTACCATGAGCTCAAGCACATCGTGTTTGTGGGCTCCATTGAGTACCTCAAGCGGGAATGGGAGACGCTTCACAACTTCCCCAAAGTGTCCATATTGCCTGTAAGTCCAAGGTCACATTATTGATGGTGGGGTTTTTTTAAATTCCTTTCATTCACAAAAATTCCCTGATGGATATAATAGTTGGAGCTTTGATCACGCCTCTGCTTCTTTATCTGGTTATGGGCCTGAGGACTCAGCCCTTCCTCTACGCTCCATCTAGGAATATCCAAACCCCGGGGACCTTATTAAAAGGAATTTGCAGCCCAGTTCAGTTGCTCCTCAGACATGAAGTTGAGCTGGTATCAAATGTATTAACCGTGTCAGTGTCTAAACACTCTCCCATGCCTACCCAAGCCTACTGCTGTGCGATAGCATGAAGTTTAGAGCAGACTTTATGTATGGAACTATTTATATCACTTTATTTATGGGGGAATCTTGATTGTACCACATTCTGTTTTTAACTAAATGTATTTACCAGAGCTCTTTATTTATTTTTGCTCTATGAAGGCCTACCCCTTCTGCTGATCAGCCTCTCCCCTTCCCTCATTTAGCAGCCTGGTGTGTTTCCCCGGGTTTGTGTGTGTGCCCCACATGCGTGACTGTGCTATTTTTTTCTGTATGTTTGTTTATTTATTGATTGATTTCAACAGAGTGGAAAGAAGGGAGGGAGAGAGAGAAAAAAACATCAGTGTGAGAGAGAAACATCAATTGATTGCCTCCTGCTCACACACTGACTGGGGCTGGACATGCAACCTGCAACCCAGGTACATGCTCTGACCGGAATCGAACCCGAGAACTTCCAGTGCACAGGGACCACACTCTAAACCACCGAGCCACACAGGCCGGGCAACCTGTGATAGTCTTGATTATGAAACACCGCTACCCAAATCTGAAAGGAAAATTTGGTACTTTACAACTTAGTGCGAAGACAGGGCATACATGATCTGCGGGTCATGAAACTACTTCCTAATTATTAATAAATATATTTGCCATAAATGTTAAAAAACTGTTGTACATTTCAACATTTGATACAGTTCTCACTGTCACGCATCCATGCAAATATCGCTTGTTCGCCACACATTTTTCTTGGAAGTTCATACCCTGGAATTGAGGAACATGAGTTTGATGCTACATTTTTAGGGAGCTGGGTTTTTTCCCATTTATGGAGCTGAAATTCATTATTTCTATGATTAGCTTCCAGAACCTCAAAAGTAGAAAAAAAAACAGTGAAGAAATAAAATTCAATAAGTACGTAATAAACTACCCACAAGTAATATGTATTAGCAGCCACCATTTGTCCTTACATATGCCTGGCAGGATAGGTATTCGATAAATATTTAAAGACAGGAGAAAAATATAGACAAATACCTTTTGGATGCTGGGCCCATAACTCACTGACTTAATAAACACATGGAATTAAAAATAGTCACCTGCAGAAAGCCAGTCATGCACATTGAAGAGTGTAAATAGATACACACCTTGCGAATTTCAGACATCATTGATTAGCTTCTATTTTTCCATGATTATCTTCCTCTGTGAGATCTTACACACAGAAAGTACCTTGTAACCCAGCATGTAACCCAGCAACCTTTATTATGTTGCTGGGTTACATGAATCTGTGTGTATATGTGATGTTGTGTGTCTGTGTGTGGTGTGTGTTTCCTTTTGCATGCCCTTGTACACATCCACCCACCTGCCTGCATTTATATGAATGAGCTTTTATATTTGCAGGTCTTTTTCAAACACTCCACAATTTAGCATACTCAAACACCACATATTTGTACAAAATGGCCCTTCTCTGTCTTCACATATTTCATTGTTTAAACAGTGCCTCACAGGGAGGGCCAACCCTGAGAAACACAAAGCGTTTTTATGTATGCCATTTGTATTTCTTGAATTTTGAAATCACACCTATACAGCTGTGCAGGGATTGTCTTATGTCATAATTTACCTCTGACTCCCCACAGGATGATAATTAAAGGAATATGGATGGAGGCAGTTGAGGCTTATGCACTGGCACAGTGACTCGGAAAGTTGGTCTAACTTCTTTTGTACCAAGAGATCCCAGGAGGAGAGGGGACCCTTCTTCCCCTTCTCTCGATGATGCTCCAGAGTCTGGAATGAGTAGCTCCTCAGTCCCTTAGTCCTGAACGCCTCTCCCTCCTTTGCTCCACCTTGTGGCAGTGTCCTGGGGGCTGAGAAGAGAATCATGAATGACACTAAGTCATATGAGAGGGTTGATGGCCTTGATCTCCGCAGCCAAGTCCAACCTTCTCACAGCCCCTTTTCCAGGAAGAACTAGAGAAAGGTACCCAGAGATACAAGGCGGCTGGCAAACCCTGTCCCTACACAGTCAGTAGGTGACGGCTACTCGGGTCTCTGTGCAGGCAAAGCAGAGGCTGGATTTCGGCTGGAGGACCAAGGGGGCTGGGGCTGACTGTGAACTCCAGAGGGGTGTCCCTGGGCGCTCAGCCTTGGATGGCCTGCTGAGGCCTGCTGTGCCTCCTCCTGGGGACACAGAGCAAGTGGGTTCGCGCCCCTCACCTGTGGTTGCCTTCCTGGCCTCTCTGTCATCACCTCCCTGATCTGTCCTCCCCTCCCCCACTATTTTGTTGTTTCAGGATTTTAAAAAATCCTGTTTTCTGCTTTATTTATTTTTAATTACACTAGGAAAATACAAACGCGTCCTTGTTATAAAATATCAAGCAATCGGAAGTATGTAAAATCAAAACCAAACTTTTCCCTTCATGCCAAATCTTATTCTCCTCCCCAGAGGTAATTACTGTTATTAGTGTAGTGTGAATTTTTCCCAAACTTTCTCTTTGAATGTACATATCTTTATACATAAATTCATAAACGTATAGTTTCATTTTGTGGGGTTCTTTTCACATAAATGATGTCATACTTTTCAAATTGTGTAGAACTTGTTTTTTCCTTTTCCCACGTATTCCTCTGAGCAAGATTCTTCCAAGGCGATGCCCGCGTGGAGAGTGGTTCAGTCCCTTTCCTGGCTGCATATATATGTGCTATGTATGTGCTATGTATACCCCATGGCGTGTTTAGCCATTCCTATGTTGTTGGACAATTAGGCGATTTCCTTTTTTTTTCTGCTAAAAATATGCAATAAAATTCCGTGACCTGAAACTTCACTCCTTTCCCTCTCCCCTTTGTAAGATGCACGTAGCTGCCCTCCCTCACATCCTCCTAGGGCAGCCTTGTCTCAGCCCCATCTCCTCACCACTGCTCATTGGCCATTCCCCTTGCCTGCATCCGAAATTCTCCTTGGAGCTGCTGTCTTTTGCTTGTGACAGAAGTGACCTGCTATTAAATAAACAGGCATTTGAAACCCACCCCCTTGTTACGTTCTGAAAGCCTGAGGTTGCCACAGGACAGTTCCTTAAATCAAGACAATTTCCAGCAGGAAGGAGATGTGGAAGCCTGGCATTATTCTTCCCTCGTTTGTTAGTAATAGCTTGATTGAGTATTGAGAGCGAGCCTAAAATGCTGCCATCAGCACCGGCTACCCTTTAGATTAGCACACAGCTCCTATTCCCCTGAATGCAGTTAGGCCAGCTTAATGTCAAGGCATAAAGAAGATACTTGTTAAATAATTTCCCAAAGCTCCAGCGCGATCTTTAATTTGTTTTTATTTTTTTCTCTCTATCCCTCTCGTCCCTCGGTCTCACTTTTGCTTCTCCTTTTTTTTTTTTTTCTTTCCTCTCTGCCAAAGGGTACGCCATTAAGTCGGGCTGATTTAAGGGCCGTCAACATCAACCTCTGTGACATGTGCGTTATCCTGTCAGCCAATCAGAATAATATTGATGATACTTCGCTGCAGGACAAGGAATGCATCTTGGCGTCACTCAACATCAAATCTATGCAGTTTGATGACAGCATCGGGGTCTTGCAGGCGAATTCCCAAGGTAAGGACAGCCTGTAATAGTCCTCTCCTGTGCCTGCAGGGGACAGGGGCTGGCAAGAGGGATATCCTTCACTCAGTAATTCAGAGGCTAGCGTCGGCCTGCCAGGCAGTGGAACCCGTGGTCACTGTGGTGGCGCTCAAAGGGGCAGGCGCTGCCTCTCCTGGCCATCCCAGGACCCAGGCAGGAAGACCCCCACTCAGAGCACGCTGCCTTCCTGGGGAATGAACCAGCCTTTACATCGCCACCCCTCAGCCTTCCCAAACGGTGGTTTTGTGACCAGGGTCACCAACTAAATGTCAGAGCACTGAAAAGAGGCTGGCTGAGCAATTCACAGCGTTTCTCCCCAGAATCTGTCATTGCCACTGACCTCTGCGACGCTTTGCTATTGTTATCGCTGCTCAGGGGGGTTAAGCTTTATGTTATCATATGCCAACCCAGGGATGTGGCCCTGGAGAGAGGGGCTGTGTGGGCACCGAAAGTCCTTTAGCAAGAGGTGGTGATCCTCAGCCCATGCATTGTCTGTAGGGAGCTAGTAGAGCTAAATGTCACCTCGGCTCTGCCCCAATCTCCCTGTCATTTTCTCTGGAACCCTGGGCAGGTAGCTACAAGCAAAGATGTCACCGGGGAGTCGCAGGCAGGTGGCACAGCAAAAACCCCGTAACAGCCTTTCTCATTAGGGCCTCAGCAGGATAGGCCGGGAGGCATTTCCCCCCGAAAAGCACCACTGAGGAGGCTTGCTCTGAGCTGTAGGATTATTTTCACATGTGGTCCACTGGATGGATGGCACTGGGGCCCTGAGGAGGACCTGACTCCCATCATTCCGGGAGCCAAGGTAGAGGGAGCACAGCCCCTGGGAACCAGAGCTGCTGGGGCATGGCACCACCTCATTGACGGGATAAAGCTCGGCTCCACACAGTGTAGACTTGTGCCAATTCCGCATCACCACCACCTCCTTCTAACATCTGGTGGACATTTGCTGTGAGGCCAGGGACAGTAGTTCCTCGAATCCTCTTCCTTCTGTGGTTCTGGGCTGGAGTCTGCCAGTGAGAGCGGGGGTCTGAGAGAGACCTGGAATGGAGAGAGCAAGGGAGGCAGCTGCTTCCAGACCCTGAGCGGATGTGAGGTTCCGAGCCGATCTCAGGGCAGCCTAAGAACCACGGCTTTGGTGCTGGGGAGTGAGACGCGGGAACGGGTTTCTCTGGGCATCTGAGACTCACGGCATCTTCTGTGAAGCTCCGGAGAGCCTTCCACTTGGTGTTGCAAATGAAATGGTGAATGGTGGCCCATTCGACTTGCTGCCATAGCCTTCCCAGTGGTGGTGTCAGCCTCTTCATACTCAGAATAGAGTGGCTTCTTTTCTTAACTCTGATGGGGACAGCCGGAAGCCTAGTTTGGACCTCTCTACTCTCTCATCCTCTGTCTCCCCTGCACCATCTTGATCTTGGTGTCCACTAACTCAGCGGTACCCACAGGGCAGGACAACATTCCAGGCTCAGAGAACAGCTCTTACCACACAGCTGCATGCTGTGGAGGCAGAGAGCGGAAGTGACAAGGCTGTGAGCACACAGCAAGCTGGCCTAGGAGGTGCCTTTAAGTACTTGTACTTCCGTATGGGTCCTCTAACTCCAGAAGGGGCACTGCCAGGGTCCTTGTTAGAAATGCGAATCTCATGTCTACCCCAGACCTCCTGGGTGGGAAGCTGAATTCTAAGGGTCCTGGGTGACTCATGTGCACAGCTTTCAGGCACAATCAATCTTCACGCTAAGGAATCCAGGTCCAGCGAACATGCTGACCACCCTGCCAGACGCTCCTCCTCTCCTGGCAGGACCAGCACGGGGAAGGGAAGGAGGTGGAGGCCGAAGTGCTCCCTGTGGGTAGAGGGGGCCGAGTAGGAGGGACAGGAGAGCACCCCTGTCCCCAGCATGCCCACTTTCTCCCAATCCAATCATTGGGATTTTCCAGGTCCATGGATCAAGTCTTCATGTACAACTTAGTTAGACAGTTGGCCCTTGAACAGAGAGATTTGTGCTACAAGGGTCCACGTATACACGATTTTCCCCCCAATAAATACATACAATGCTGTAAATGTATTTTCTCTTCCTTATGATTGTCTTAATAACATTTTCTTTTCTCTAGCTTACTTTATTGTAATAATATATCTCTATGTATAAAAGGCTAATATGCTAAGTGTCCAACCATCCAACTGGTTGCTATGATGTGCACTCATCACCAGGGGGCAGACACTCAATGCAGGAGCTACCAAGCTTCCAGTGACTTGGCAGTAGTGGTTCTCGGGGGATGCACCCCAAAACCAGAGAGAAGGGAACCCAATTCCTTACGGGGCCATGTGACTCCACCTTTGGCTGTGGGTTATGTTGTTGCTGGGGCACTGTCAGCCCCGAATCTGGTTTACTGCACACTTGCGTTTGCGTTCCACACCCTGTATGACAGCAACTTTGCAGAGTGCCCTCTCGCACTCCGGGACCCCTGGGGGGATGTTGGAAAGCTGGGTTTGGCCCGATCCCCGCAGGCCAGCCAAGGGACCCCACCTGCCAGAGAAACCCCACTCACTTTGCAAACACCAGGGAGGGACCACGGGAGGTTGGCTCTAGGGTGTGTCTGGCCCATTTTACCCAGTCCGGTTCCACCAGCCACCTTCTAATTAATGTCCTTCTAATGTGCACAAATCCATGCACTGGGTCACTGGTGGTATATAATACATATAACATGCATAATGTTTTAATTTTAACTGTAGATGTTGTTGGTAAGGCTTCTGGTCAGTGGTAGGCTATTAGTAGTTAAGTTTTGGGGAAGTCACAAGTTATATGTGGATTTTCAACTGCATAGGAGGTCAGCATCCCCAACCCCTACATTGTTCAAGGTCCAACTGTATATGCATCTGAAACAGGTGTTCCTTCCATCTCTCACAAATCTTATCTGAGCCTCTTAGATCCTCTCTGGTGGCCAAATGAGTAAAATATCATCCCTTTCCCAGATACCCATCCAAAGCTCAAAAGCCTTATTTACTGTTTTTATCACAGAAATAAGCAAGAAAGGTAGGTTTTGATGGGAGATAAGGAGGAAAGGGGGAGTTCACTTTTCCTGAAAAAAAAAAAAAGAGAGCGAGAAGGGGACTTCTTTTGTACAAGCACACACGTACACATGTACACATGAATATATGTGTGCACACACGGGTGCACATGTGCACACAGGAAGGCAGAGGATGTGCTCTGGAGATCCTCCCAGGTTCCCAGCAGCAGTAGAACGGAGGGCGTGTCCCCCAGTCACCAGCAAGCAGTTGGATCTGCTCTCAGTGAGAGACCTTGGGAGCTGTGGACACACTGAGCCCGTATTTACCTTCTTTCTTGCTGTGACTGCTCTTCTCATTCTTGCTGCTTAGTTTCTAATACTCTTCTCTGGTGACACTCTGACCTTCCCAAAGACAGTCGTTTGGCAGTGGGTGTTCACGAGGAAATTGGCTTCCTCCCTGAGGAACAGGCTCTATAAATTCACCCACTTCTGGGGTCCATTCCAACCTGAGGGGCCAGGTAGATGAGCTGACATGTCCGCCTTCGAGAGCAGTACTCATGGAACTCAGATATGTTGACTGCCATTCCCCTGGGCATTGGAAGGTCCCAGTGGATTGGAGTTACAGAGCACAAAATGGATTCCTCTTCCTCTTTCACTTTGGGAACCAAATGTAACCCCTCCCCCCAAGTGTTAACTACATAGATTTCTAGCCACTGCCACCCAATTGTCCTTGCTATTTATTCTATAGTCCTTGTAAAACCCCATTGTTTGCTTGGTCCTGAGAGCTACATCACTACCTCTCTAGAAGGCAGAGGGGCAGACATTTGAACTCAGGAGAGATGCGTGTGTGCCCTTGGACAGCTTAGTCGCGCATCCCTATGCAACTTTCCTTATGGAGAGTTTTTCTACCCTGATACGAGGTAACATGAAAAATGTGTCTTAACAATGTGAAGGGAGAGTCCTCATCGGGATTTGTGTTCAGACAATTGGCACTGTATGCCACTTGGTCTCCTGGACAAACAAAACTTCATTTCCCCTCTTCTCTTTTCACATCCTTTGTGGTGTCGCTATCTGAGCCCACATGGTGTCAGAGCTGACCCAGCCTGGGGATTCTGGACCAGACACTTTCTAAAATGATCTGAGATGTGATGGCTGGTTGTCGAAAACAATTACAGAGAAGGTGGCACACCCCATGCGGACGGTCTATCCGATGTGACAGTTGGGTCTATGAGATGCAGTTTTAATATACAGCAGGCAAGACCGCAGTGACAATTACATAAAGCAGGTGAAGCCGCTTCTTGCTGGTCAGCAAACATCAGCTCAGAACCACTTTATGGCTCTTTACCAGCAACTAAGTGCCTTTATTTACAGAGCGCCTGTCACTTCCCTCTGGCTGGAGAGCTGGTGTATTATTTAGCACACATTTATCTGGGGAAAACATTTCAATTTAAATCAGCTGGTACAACAGTGGCTCTTGCCAGACGTTTTCCCCGTGGTTTTAAAGGATAGGAACTGAGTCGGATCTTGGAAGGGAGGGCGAGCAGGGAAGGAAGGCCATTCTCAGAGAGCCGCTGGAGTCAGCACCTGAGAAAAGGGAGCACGTGACTGAGCTTCCCATTATGCCTTCATATTGTTATGAAAGGGGCATCTTACAATTTCTTCCTGCTCAACCTTAACCCTCAAGGGAAAGAAAGAGGAATAAGTGAATGTCCATTATGTGTCAGGCCCTAAAGTGTCAGGACACGGGGATGATATGGATTCAGCCACTCACTGTCCTTGAGGGGCTCAGGAGAGTGGAGGAGGCGCCCCCATAAACAGGGGCGGTACAATGAGACCAGGGCCAGGCTAGAATGCAGAAGCACATCCTCGTTTTATACATTTCAAGGAGTGGAGAAGGTTGCCAAGAAGAGTTGAACTTTGAAAGTGAGTTGAACACATGTAGCTAGTGTGACTGAGGAACTAAACTTTCC